AGAAGAGACAGGGTTTCACCATGTTGGCCAGGCTGGTCTTGAACTCCTGGCCTCAAATGATCCACCTGTCTTGGCCTCCCAAAGTGCTGGGATTACAGGTGTGGGCCACTGCACCCAGCGCATGTCAACCTTAGAGGCTCACAGTTCTCAACTTCCCCCAGTGGGCCTCCAGATAAGACATGAAAAAGGTATGCCATCTGAGGCCTCAGGGACCTGTGGGGTCCTGGGAGGTATCAGCAGCTTCTGTTATAACGTTAGCAGGGTTCTGAGGCAAAGATGAACAAGGAAGAAGGAAAAAGGGAGAAGAAAAAAATAGAAAAAACCCAAAATTTTAAGTGAAAATATAGTGATCTAGGAGTGGAAACAAAAAAGTATATAGATACGGAATGGTTATGAACTGCTCCCAATCAGCTTGTGCCTTCTCCTCTTGGTCTAACAGACTCTGGAGTCTGCTGGTATTTGTAAACTGGTAGCTTTCTAGGTACATGTGACCGAGTAACATGGTGCCAGAGCCTCATTTCCCAAACTAATGTTCCACAGAAAACTGTTCTGCACGACTTTTTTTTTAAGCCACTGATTTAGAGAACAGGATGTCTGGCTTCTGAGCAGGAACCTTCATAGTGCCAGTAATGAAAGAGAAAATTAAAATATGGGTAATGTTGAGAAAGGCAAGAATATCTGAGTTCAGAAGTGTGCCCAGTGCCACACTGTTGAAAAGGAAGTCAAGTACGAGGCTGGGCTTAATCTCCATGTCTCTTTGGGCGGAAGACAGGTCAGTCCACTGGATTCTCTTACACAGATGCCAGTAAGAACAACGGCATCACCTGGGGAGAGGATACTGATGGAGTATTTGGAGAATCCCAAGAAGTACATCTCTGGGAAAAAAATGATCTTTGCCAACATTAAGAAGACAGGAAGGGCAGACTTGATAGCTCATCTGAAAAAAGCTACTAATGGGTAATAATTGGACACTGCCTTATTTATTACAAAACAGAAATGCCTCATGACTTTTTTATGTGTACCACAATTTAACAGACCTCATAAACCAGAATTCAGATCATGAATGACTGACAGAATGTTTTTGTTGGGCAGTCTTGATTTAATTAAGACTGGCTTGTGGTTAGATGAATATGTTTGGCTTCTGGAATTTTAACAGTAATTCTGATTTAGTAAATGCTATATATCACTGTTTATTCCTTCAAATATATGACTGGATTTCATTAGTAATGTTCAACTTTTCACGAAGATGATGAATGCCATCTTAAAACTTACTGGAAATTGGTTTTATATCTAGATTTATATAAGTGGTTATGTGAACATATTTAAATACCGGGGAAATTGCTTTACTGTCTCAGAACCAAGTAAGATTCACCTGTGTTTTATGTTCATTTGCCTCTTAAAGGCAAGGGCTAAAGATGAGGTGGCAATGTCTACTTAATAGTTTGGCCTTAACAATAGCCAATCTAATTAGAATTCCCTGTATCTAAAATGGTTCCTTTTACTTACTGAAAGGCATTTTAGTGTGGTTTATGTGTAATATGAAATAAAGATATTTAACACTTCTCACATTTTATAAGTGATCTATAGGATCAGATGCTTTAAAAACAGTAGCAAGTTAAACTTCACTCTTGAATTCTTTACTATCTAATTCAGACTAAGCTACAATTTGGGATTGTCTTTAAACAGCCATTCAGACATAAAACTGCAGAACTGCTGTGTATTTGTGACTGGAAATGGTGCTTTTGCCAACCTAAAAGGACTACAGGAAATATACACAAATTTAAAAAATTATGTGTTATCATAAGACTTAAGATAATTAAAAACAAAACCACAGATTGAAAAAAAAAAAAGCCACTGATTTAATCTTAAAATTAGGAAGAACAGATGGATGACCTTGCAAATGATTTGAGTAGAGCCAAGAGGCTCCCAGGCCAAATGTATTCTTCTACTAGCTTATTACAGTGACAACAATTCTACCCTTTTTGATTTTTTTGGATCTTGACTTTTAATTAAGAGCACATCTACTCAAAAGCAAAAAGCCACTTCTATGTATTCAGAAGAATGAAGCATAATGTGCAGGGAAAGGTCCTGCCTCCTAAGCAATTTAGAAATGATTGATTAAATCTAGTTCTTTATTACTTTTTAAAAAAACTGGAGGATATCTCAGTCTTTACATATGTTAAGGTATACTGTAAAGACAACATAATAAGCAGTATTTTCCAAATGCATTTAGGTGGAGTAAAGGGAGGTAAGACTAGAAGCAATATTGGGAAGGCAGCATTCTGGAACCCTTAGCTCTGATTAACAGGAGTAGCCCTACTTTTACATGTTGAGATATTAAACCTAAGATTTTGCTTAGAAAAAAAGTTTGCTGCTAAAAAAGAAAGTCTGAATAGACTTTCTTTAGAAGACCACCTCCATGAAGTCACCATGAAAATTCAAGTGATGGGGTTGAAAAAACGGGGTCTATATCTCTGTTCTAGCACCTTTTACCTTGTAGCCTAGTACAAGCAGCACACTGGAATCTTTGACTCCCTCTGGCAAAATGGAATTCATGAGGTCTTTGCCTAGTTCAAATATTGGTCCTGCCACTTACTAGTTATGTAAGTGTAAGTGTACACAGTATACCTTACTAGTTGCCTCTGGACAACTTACCTCTCTGCACCTCAGTTTCCTTACCTGTAAAATAGGTCAGAATGGGCCTATTGTTATGAGGATTAAGAATTAATATTTGTAAAGCCCTTAGAATAGTACCAGGCATAGCAAATTGCATGTCATTGTTAAAATAACTTTTTAATTAGATAATCATGTTATAAAAATTAAACTTTAAAAAGATACCTATCATTCAAATATGGACCATGTATTAGATAATAGCATTATAACAATGTTAAACATCTTGGGTGTGGTAATGTTACTGTGGTCATGAAGGAGAATGTCCTTGTTCCTGGGAAATACAAGCTGAAGTACACAGGGGCGAAATGTCATGATGTCTGCAACTTAATCTCAAAAGATTTAAAAAGTATATATAAATAGAAAGAGATAAAGCAAATGTGGCTACAATATTAACCATCAGTGAATCTAGATAAAGGATATATGAGTGTTTACTGTCCTTTATCCAATATTCCTGTAGATTTGGAGTTTTCCAAAATAAAAATAAAACACCGGCGTTGGTGGGGGGAAGAGAGGCATAGACTGAAAGGTAGCAAGTTCATCCCTGAACGAGTCCTGCCCCCATCCTGACAGTATCTTCTGTATCTTTCCAATGTTTCTTATGCAAATACAAGGAAATATCTTAATAATTATATATGATGATTTTCATGATAAAATACACAAACCCGAATACCCCAACTGTATCAACCTACCCTGTAGACATGATCTCACTGGCCTCCAGGATCTAAATCCACACAGCTCTATTTGGAATGCTTATCACATTTCACATTGTATTAAACCTGGAATATCTTATCTCTCTTGCCAAATTTTAAGTTCCTTAAGGTAAAGAACTCTCATTATCTGTTGAACAAATGAATACCAATCTAGAAGAGGAGTGTATGATCTATTAAATAAGAGCTAGATTTCAATAGTTCAATCTCTCAGGAATTGTTTCCCAAGAAACTGTTCAATAGATAACTATTCAACCTACCCTGATCAGTGTTTAACTTTGCTGTGATTTTCCTAATTTTATCATTTGTAGATGTGGATATCAAGACGTTCACTTTACTGGGCTGAAGAGCTGAATGAGATAATTTACAAAATTACTAAGCAAACGTACCTCCATAAAGTAGATGTTCAATAAATGCTACATGCATTTGTCATCATAAAGTTAACCGTAAACAACATTTTGCCTTTTTGGTCAAAACTTCTTTATAAACTAATGACACTAGTTCTTTAGAGCTGTGTATATCTAGGATGTGAGCAAGGAGGTAGCAGAGATAGATGTGCTAAAATAAATGTACAGTTTTGCTTTTCTTGTGGCATTTTTTTATTTTTTTGAGACCGAGTCTCACTGTTGCCCAGGCTGGAGCGCAGTGGTATGATCTTGGCCCACTGAAACCTCTGCCTCCTGGGATCAAGCAATTCTCCTACTTCAGCCTCTTGAGTAGCTGGGACTACAGGCACCTGCCACTACAGACAGTTAATTTTTGAATTTTTAGTAGAGACGAGGTTTCACCATGTTGGCCAGGCTGGTCTCGAACTCCTGACCTCAAGTGATCCAGCCTCCCAAAGTGCTGGGATTACAGGCGTGGGCCATCTCACCCGGCCCCCTGTGGCTTTTCGATTAGGATCTTGAGCTCACTTAAAGATCAATGTTGGTTCAATTGCCTCAGGCAAAACAGGTGTGCTGTGCCACTATTGTTAGGTTTCTAGATCAGAGTCTTGACAGAGTGAGGATCCAGGTTTCTTTGCCCTGGAAAACCACATTACTTCCCAGGGCTGATGAATGCCCCATTCTAGGTTATCCAAGTGGCTGAAGTTTTGGGTTTTCAATAGATAAAAATGGGTCAAAGGCAGAAGAACAAGACCAATGAAACATTTTTTGGGAGTGGGGTGAAGGGATACGAAAACCAATAAATTATTTTAAATTGCTGGTATATACATCTAGATTCCCAATTCCTCCAGGCACACAAGGGGTAAGAGTGAGAAATAGAGGAAGCAAGATTCGAGTGGCTAGAACAGGTCTGATTTCCAAACGCCTCTCCCTCAGGCACAAGGAAAGAAAACAGGTTGTAATTAGAGAGATGCATTCCAATACCACTTTTTTTTTTTTAAATGCATGCCCCAGGGACAGGAGGGATTAGTTACAGAAGAAGAGATGAAACTGTAATGATAGCAGTCAAGCTAAAACTGCCCTAACTTGTTGTGTGTAGTAATTACATATCTGCAATGGATCTCAACATTATATTCTCTCAGCCACACCCCCTCTAATTTTTCAGGTTTCTTCCAACTTTTCTGAGAAGCTGTATTACTGCATGATCAGCATTCTTTGCCTTAGAATACAAAGCCACAATGACAAGAGTACTTATTGATGGACTGGTCAGAAAACAGTTAAATACAATCTACAGTAGTCCTCTCTTATCTGAGGTTTTGCTTCCCACTGTTTTAGTTACCCACAGAGGTCTGAAAATAGGTAAGTACAGTACACAAAGGTATTTTAAGAAAGACCACATTCACATAATTTTATTACAGCATATTGTTATAATTTTTCTACTTTATTATTGTTGTTAATCTCTTACTGTACGTAATTTATAAATTAAACTTTATCACAGATATATGAGTGGGGTTAAGGGAAGAAAAAACATCAAATATATGAATGGAGTTTGGTGCTATCTATGGTTTGGGAATCCACTAGGGGTCTTAGAACATATACTCCTCAGATATAGGGGAACTACTGTATTTTCTTGGGCAGGAGTATGATTTGCATATAGAAAAAAATCACAAACAAAAAAACACAACAAAGCCTTTTGAGAGACTGCTTTCAATATCAAGAGAGAAAGTGGAGAGCTGTGATGGAAAACTATAACCAGGAGAGTCAAGAGGGGAAGCCCTACTGCACTTAACAGGAGAGAAGGTCAAGTAACCCCAGAAGATTGTTCTCTGAGGATTTGCTGGTGCAGATCAAAGACAGTGCTTTTCACTGCAAACATGTGAACCTCCCCCTTCTCTGATCAAGGATGCTGTGGTTTTGATGATATTCACTTGATAAGGGAGAGTCTGGTAGTTTCACAGAAAATCGGAAATGTTTGTAGAAACAGGTTCCCATCTATGAAAGAACCATTGGGCTGGGTGTTAAAACTGAGTCCTGAACTTAAAGATCATCACAAACCTATGAAACATCATTCCCAAACAAGATAGTGTAATAGTATCTAGATTACAAATAATACGCAGAAAAGGTAACCAACCAAATAAACCAAAGAAATCTATCTTGATAATGCATAGCCTATTGCTCTCTTTACGAGTGAGATGAATGAGAAGCCTTGAGCAAGAACAATGAGGCAATTCAAAGGATCACATTATTTTAGTGTTTCTAAAATCTTCCATAACATGCCATGTTTTAGATTTGGATTTTTAAAAATTCTTTTCACTCAAAATTGCCTACCAAGGGAGTTTGTATCTTACCACTTGACCGAATATTGATGAATGGGTAGTTGGGCATCACCAGCTTGTTGAAGTTAAATTTATAGGTAAATCTTTTCCCTTTTGTTTTATGAAGGATCCTTTTGTTGTAATAGTATCTGTAAAAACAGGAATGCATGTCAATTTGTCTTGCAGTTACTGACAGCTTTCGATACACTTAAGTAGCCACTGAGGCCAACAACTCTTGCTCTAAGTATTACTTACAAAAAATCACTACCAATCTTTTGTAGCCTGGCCCTCCAGGTAGATCTAGGAAACCTAAGAGCTTAATTTTCTCACTCAATTTTCAACTCAGCTCTAGTTTTTGCCTAGAGCTTTACAAAGACAACTTTAAGATTCTGAACACCTAGCCCCAAACACTTTCTTCTCCATCTCTCCACAATTTCAATTCTGCAGTCCATTTCCTTCCGTTGTACTGCACGCCACTAACTGCTTGGTTTCTCTTTTCTGTCTCGCCCTGGTGGGGGCAGACAAATCACTAGCCTGATGTGGTTAGTCTGGAGGGCTAAGCTCAAAAGATAGCCAAAGGAATGTAGAACTGTTTTATGGTGGCAGGTCAAACAATGGCATTCCCTGATCTGGAAAACAGCAGCTAGTGTGGCCTGCCTCACCTTCAAAGACTCAAAGGGATGTGAAAGAACACAGCAAAGCCACTGCACAGATTTTTCATGTAAGGTCACTAAGAATAAAGAAAGGCAGGAGAACCTCAATGTATCTGGAACCTTTAATCTTACGTCCATGCAGTGGCACAGGTCATAAACTACCTTCTAGCCCCTTGAGGGCTAACAGGCTATGAAATTTAAGACTGACAAGGAGAAAAAAGAACCTGAGAAAACTTATAGTGATCAATCTTTAGACATGTTGCAGCAGGCTATGGACTGACAACCTGAGTTCCTGATTAAGGTAGGTCAGCATCATTGAGTCTTCTTCCTGTGACTTGCTTTACCGTTTTCTAAGTTTCTTCCAGGGGATCCCAAAGAAAGAAATTCTAACAGATTCTAATAGAGAAATCTAAACTAATCCTTTGGATTATAAATGAGCTCCAATCCATGTTTCACCATATACTCTCGCCCACTATAGAGCAGAATCGGCTGTCTGTCAGCAACCAGTGCCAGCCACATTGGAATTCCCTCCCACGTATAAGCAAAGATTTGCCTTTTCTCCTCCTGTGCCTGTGCTACTCAGATTCAACAGCTCTTCTACTCCCACTTTAAAGTGACACATTATTCACTAAGATAGTGTAGTCTTTTATTACCTGATACCCTTTTTATCTAGCATTCACCAACCAGCTTAGTCTCCTTCCAATCTGTTAACACAGATTTGGGAATCCTTTCCCTCACCTGAGGGCCCGGCTCAGCTTGTCATAATTCATCTGTGGTTTGCATTTCCTGCGGCCCCAGAGGCGGGCCACCTCATCTGGATCCTTGATGACAAATTCCCCGTACTCTCCCTGCTGCCAGGCGATGACATGGCGGAACTCTTCCTTCTGCAGGAGCTCCAGGATGAAGTGCCACAGCTGGATCTGCCGGGAGCCTGGGGACGACTCTGTTTTGTAGGCCCAGTCAGGAAACTGATACCCTTTAAAGTGAGAAGGGCAAGATTAAGCTAGTTAAGAGCTAGGTACATACATACCAGCACCCCCAACTGCACATTCCACTGCTGAGAATCTAGAGTGCTTTGCAAACATGTCATAAGTACCCTTTCAGTCAGCTGCGCCTAACCACAATGGGGAGAGGAAAGCACAAAGAAGTCACCTATCCTTGTGGTAATCATTAAATCTGATAAGAGTTGGGCAGCAGCAGCCAGATGTCCTAATCTTACCTTTTCATACATTACTAAATTTCACACCTACTTTCTATGAGGACATGAAAGTGCTAAATGGAACAAACAGGAAAGATAAACTAATGTTTCAGGAAAATATAGCTGAAACTCCTTTTCCCTAAGGTTGGAACTGTGTCTCTAACTGCAAAGAGGCTCTAAAGCTTGGGACATGGGTGTGGTGACCAGACATGTTAAATATACATCCATAGGAAACAAGCCTACAACTGTCCTGGCAGTATTCACCCAGCCAAGAGGCTGTCAGTCATGGTCTGACATTTGTGAACAGAGCCCAAGTGGAGAGAACAGGAACCACTGAGGGACCTTCCAGGTACATCAGAGATGATTAACTTCTGCTCACCTCCACCTCCTTCTGGCTTTTCCACCATGCTACAGCCGGCTTTCATTTTCGCCCTCCTGCTGAAAGACACAAGCCACACAATTACTTTAAGATGCTATTTATTTAGTATCCTCCCAAAGTTTTCTGGCAGTCTTTCCCCAAACTTCCTTTTCCCTATTCTTCCTTCCTTATGCAACTCCCTCTCTTTCAAACATGTCACCTCCAAACTGCTACTCCCAATCAAATGATGGGCCTCAGGTCATCAGCTTCAAAAGCCATAATTATCTCTCACCTGACTTTAAACCACAAAGTGTAAACACTGTCTTTAATATTTGCTTTCCTCCTCCTGACCAACCCTTCAAATGTAAAAAAAATAAAAATAAAAAATAAAAAAGGAAGGTACAGTGAAATAGGTCCAAAAATGCAGCCCAAACAAGTCAAACAGTTTGTCTATTACTAGTCAAGCCCACATGCCAAGATACACAAGTCTGAGTTCACCCAGATGTACCAGCTTAAAGGGTGAAAAAAATCCAAATCCATCTGATTCCCACTCAAGAATGAACATCTGATTTTGATTTATTTTACTGAATTATGTGAGATGGGAAAAGAAAGACACTTCCCAGTCAGAAACTGCCCCCTCCCCCTTGAAAAATACCCTGGGATACAGGAAGTAAACACCATATGTACACTTACTCTATACAAGAAACACACACAAACACCCAAACATTTCTTTGAGAAAAATTCTACATTTTCTCCATTGAACAGGACGGGTGAAAAGCAGGCATTTCTGAAGCCCTTCTGGCCAGTGAGTGGGGGGAGTCTTGCTGCGATTTGAGTTCATTCCATCCAGATTTACAGTTCCTCAATAAATTTCCTGTTCCTCCCAGCAAGCAGCTTTGTGTCAATCATTTAGCAAAAAGGAGGCAGGGGTGAAACTGCCAAAGGGACACAGAGGCAGGAGAGGGCAGATCTACCCTCGCTCTTCCCCAGGGTGGATGACAGGACCTTACCATCCACATTAGCTGCAGTCTGGAGAGAATGCAGATGCCTAAGTGGCCCCTGGGTAGGGATAAATTCCTTATCTTGGAAATTTCACCTAACCTAGGATTCCTCTAGATCTTTTGAATATTTTTTTTCTCACCAATCACATTAAGGAGACCAGCAAGTGTCAATCTACAAAACTACTAGCAGCCGAGGACAAGATAAGTACCCCGAAGGAAGAAGACAGACACAGAACGAACACACGAACACACACACACACACACACACACACGAGATATACAATAACGAGGCAGGCACCGGGGCAAATATCCCAAAGGAAGGAGAAGACAGACACGGAACACACACGAAGACACACACACACGAGATATACAATAACAAGGCACGGGACTGAGGCAGACACAGACAGACACACACACACACACACACACACACACACGGGATATACAATAACAAGGCACGGGGCTGAGGCAGATACACACACACACACACACACACACACACACGGGATATACAATAACAAGGCACGGGGCTGAGGCAGATATACACACACACACACACACACACACACACACGGGATATACAATAACAAGGCACGGGGCTGAGGCAGATATACACACACACACACAAACACACACGAGATATACAGTAACAAGGCACCGGGGCTGAGGCAGGAGCTGCTTCTCCCATTTTAGTGATAATGAGGGAGGAAAAACACGAATTTCCCCCACTGCTCCAGGAAGCTACCCTGGACTTTTAACTCCATTCTAATGCGCTGTCGGATCGCGAGGTCTTTTATACTGCCATAAAACTCCCTCCAACCATCATGACTATGGGGTTCAAATCCCGTTGCAACGATGACCTGACAAGGAAGCCCTCTCCAGACACTCCAGCTCTCCAATGTTCCCCATAAAAGTCCCTTTCCCAGGAGCCCTGAGGCGCCTCTGCACGCCTTTCGCATATTCACTGCAAGGACACTTCATCCAAGTAGGGCCACTCGTCTCAACTCTGCAAACCCCCTTCCTCTGATCGCGACCACTCCCCGAAGAGTGAGGCATGCATAGTGTGGCGCTGCGGATTTCCCGTAGCAGCTTAGGGTCCTGGATTCCACAGCTCCCAGAACCTTCTTGCCATTCACCTCCTGGGCCGGGCTTCCCTTAACCCGTTGCCTCAGGACTGCGCGGGGCCACCGCATGAATGCTGCCCTGGGTCCCTGTCGCCCCTCAGACAGACACGGGCTCCCACCCTCCCCCGCCCCTCGCACTAGGTGAGGCCCGGCAGGGTACGCAGCCCGGCGGCCGGACCCGATTCCAGGGACGTCGTCCCCGCCGGGGTCCCGGATCCGACCCAGAGGGCCCGGCAGCCGCGGCGAGGCCGGACTCACCTCTCCCCAGCACGGTCCGTCTTCGCTCCGGTCTCCTCCGCGGCGTCTCCGGCTCCTCCTCATCCACCCCAGCAGGAAGTGACCTCCTCGGCTGCTTTCGTCACTTCCATCCTCAGCAGAGAGGGCGGGGGAGGAGGAGGCGCCCTCCCGCCGGTTCCCAGCCTCACCTCGCCGCACCCAGCCGCGTCTCCCTTTCCTTTCTCCTTTCAGCAGACGCGGACTTCCGCCCGCACTCCGCCCCCTGCGCGCTCCTCCCGCCGCGCATCCCGCGCATCCGCCCAGTCACGGCCCGTGCGTCACGCTGCGGGGGCACGTTACGCACGCTCGTGGCTGGCTGTGGGCCCTGCCCGTGGCTGGGCCAGGGTCCTCCTCACGCTGAGGGGTGACGCGGCGCGAGGGGGCGCTGGGCTGCAACACGCTTCCCCAGCCAGGCCCCCGCCGTGAGGCCGAATGGACTTTACGGGGCGAGGCGCTGCCCCGGGGTCCCACCTGCCGGGGGAGGGGACTTCGCAGACCCCACAGGAAGGCCCAGACCCCGGGGAACGGTCTCTCCTATACCACAGAGAGGCGGCCCCTCTTTCTCCAGAAGAGGGCCCTGCGACCTCCCAGAGAGGGGATCCCTCACAATGGGAAGACGGGACCCGCAGACTTCAGACGCACTTCCCTACCCTCTAAGAAAGGGCCCTTTCATATACGTAAGAAAGAAACCGCAAAGCTTTCTCTGAAGCACGTCGCTTTGGCATTTTCTCCCTGGGAAGACTGGGGAGTATGACCGCTTCCCCGCTAGCTCCCAGCCCACGGTATTTAGTCTTAATTCGTCCCAGTCTAAGCAGTTTGCAAGTCCTCTCCCAAAGTCATTAACGCCCATGTCCCCTTTTTCTTTTACGTTTTGTTCCTGCTCGGGCAATTACCAATATATGCCCAAAGCATGTTTTCTTCTTCTTCTTTTTTTTTTTTTTTACGGAGTCTCACTCGTCGCCCAGGCTGGAGAGCAAGTGGCGCGATCTCGGCTCGCTGCAACCTCCGCCTCCCGGGTTCAAGGCTGCCTCAGCCTCCCGAGTAGCTGAGACTTACAGACGCCCGCCACCACGCCTGGCTAATTTTTGGTATTTTTAGTAGAGACGGGGTTTCACCGTGTTAGCCAGGATGGTCTCGATCTCTGACTTCATGATCCGCCCGCCTCGGCCTTCCAAAGTGCTCGGGTTATAGGAGTGAGCCTCCGTGCCCGGCCTCTTTTTCTTCCTTTAAAGGCTCATTAAGGATAAAGAATCTCAAGCAGTTAAGTTTTATCTCCAGTCCCACCCCCGTAAATCTGAGTGGTGTCCAGGCATAGTTTCACTCCAGAGGCAGAAGAAAGGGAGGAGTGGGGATCAGTAAAGGTTAAGGAATTTAGAATAAATAGAGGGTGGGGGAGGTGAAGAAGAGAGATGGGGTTGAAGGAGAATTGAAGATCAGTTTTGATCTAATGGATCAAAACTTTGTACCACTGCTTTGATAAGACCTTTGCATCGTGTCAGCCACATGGAACTTGGAAATACTAGTTGTTATAAAAGTTGCTTCCAGTTTTGAATATGCTACTAGTCATTGTCTAGCTCTTGATAAATTAACCAGTAAATTTGGCTCCCTCTGGACTAATATTGTTAGATCTTTTCTAGTTTAGAAATTCCTACATGTAGGTGAAAAAAATAAGGAGCAGAACTTATACACCACAGAGATGGTTACCGATGTCTCTAACTAGTCCATTAGCTCTTTGTAGGAACTGTCTATATATTCTTTGCATCTTCTGTATAGTACCTAGAACAGCATCTTACATGTGGATGTCAGATGTTTGTTAGAACATTCCTTTAAAATATTGGAGTTTAGCTAAATGAAGTCCTTGTGCCTTCATGTACTAGCTTTGTGACCTTAATTAAGTGACTTAACTTCTCTGTGTCAGTTCCTCATCTATGTGAACATGATACCTATAGTATCTACTCGTGATTGTTGTTATTAGCTGTGTTAATATATGTAGAGTGGTTAGAGCAGAGAATGGCATATTTTAAATATGGCAGATGAAAAATGTTGGCAAAGATAATAATCATAAGAATTATGAGAATCCTCAATTTCTCATACTACCCATGCAAATCTTAGTAATTGTTACAACTCAGAAACCAGGGTGATTGGGAATGAGCAGTTTTTTCTGAAAGTCTGAAATTGCTCATCTTTGGCTCATAGCTCAAATGATTATGGTTAGAGCCAGCAAGGTTGACTCCAAGGATCCTGTGCTCTACAAAGGGCCAGAAGTCAGAGTATATGGACCCTTTCTGCATATTTTTACTCAAGCCAGACTCCTAGGGTTCTCTGCTGCTGCTTCTCTGACTAATTAAGGTCACAAAGAATGTCTTGAGTAAACACAATTAACAGAGATAAACAAGTCTCTTTACCTGGCTGGAGTCTAAATAGATATATTGAGAAATGTTTATATTCCAGCAGAACTCAACAGTTTTTACATTAAGAATCTAATCACTGGCCTGAAACTCAAGAGGTGAATTTGGGTTTGATGAAGCAAACTGGAAATTCCCTAGTAATTAGTGGGTCTGAATAAATGAGTTGTGGCTGGGATCCTCTCATGTGGTGGTAGGATCTGGGGACATTCGGCTGGCTAGGGACTTATGGCCCAGCATACCCAAGGTCCCTATCCACTGTTTCCTTCACCATGGCACTGCTGCCTTCTCCATCTGCTGCAAATAGGTTTTCATAACATGGAGATTCTTCATGTTCCAGAAATAGGGAGAGCAGGAGCTTTCTGAAAGCTTGGGGGTGGAAACACTTAGACACTTAGCATAAGAGTCAAGACAGGTTGTAATCTCTCTTGAATTTCCACTTGCTCAAAGCTGTCTTTGTCCACTGACATTACCTTCCTACCTGCTTCCCACCCATCTTGGTAATTGTTCTGTATGTCTAGGATAAGTTTCTGTTCCAGACCTCAAGCTTTCAATTCCACTGTCACAACAATACAGCCATTTCACTGCTTCTTAAATTAAAAAAAGAGAAAGCAAATAATTCCTAGAATTATTTTTCTTCGGAAAAACCTTTCTGGATTGGTGTGTATGAGTGTGTGTGTTTCTTCCCTGGCTTGTGCTTCTTTATTGCTCCTGTTTTCATTTATATTCTCCACACACTGAACTAACCTGAACATGTATGTGATGTAAATGCTTTCCTCTCTATTCTTGTAGTAGATGACTCTCTTATTCTAGCATCTGTATGTCATAGAAGTATTTGTTCTTCCTAGTGTGTTTGTCTTAGATTGTAGGCCCTCAGGGGTTACAGCCACAGTCAGTAGGTCCCCACACTGCCCAGAGCAGTTTCATGTCATCATTTGAGATGTCTAATGATGACAATTTCCTTCTCTGCCATCATATGTGCTGATGTGCTTCTGCCTTCTCCCTCAGTCCTCCCTGTCTCCACCTAAGTCTCCCAGTAAAAGGCTGGTGCCCTTTCCCCCAGTTTGTTTTCACTAAACTTGAATTCAGAAGACCTGAGTTTTAGTCCCAGTTCTGTCCTTTGCTAACTCTATTCTCTGACAAGCCACTGATGTCTGAGATTCAGGCTTCTCATCTCTAAAAGGGGACACTATTAATGTCCCTGAGAAGGACAGAATGTAATAGCAGCTGTGGAGCGCTTGTAAACCCTGAAAACCTTTACAAAGCTCAAGGATGGTAACTCTTGCTGCCATCTTAGACCTCGCACTGTTCTTAGTATCAACAACTCAAACTTTACAGCAGTTTTCACCTAATTTCGCAAACTTTGAGTGGGGATTTAATGTTTCAGATTTGGATAGCAATCTAATTCTCAGGACAAAAATTCTTTTTTAGAACTTAGGTTCCGCAGTTTCTTATCTAGGCACTGTTTTATGAGTCCTAGCTTGAGGCGATACATTGTAATCACATTGTGCTTCAGTTTCCCCCATCCAGAAAATCCATAATAAGGATTTCCAGAAGGAAAAACAGTATAAGGTTAAAACATTATTGATGAAGTAAAAGAATGAAGGGAAAATATGAAATTGATTTATTTTCACCCTTTGTGACTCAGTTTCCCCTTCAGTAAAGTGAAGATAAATTCTCAGAGGAAAGAAAACTTTATTATTTGCATTTTACCGCATTGGACTCCACTAACTCATAAGATCTTGTGTTTTGGTTTACTTTTCCCGTCAACTCATGGTTGTTGTGAGGATAGAGGAATTAATGTCAGTAACATGATTGGGGATCCCCAGACTAAAGGTTAAATGAGTCCAAAGCAGAAGTAACTTTGCCCGAAGTTACAGCTCAACCAGGAGCAGAGAGCCTGGATGTTTATTTAGCAGTGACTTGGGGACTCAAGGACTCTCCCCAATTCCACGTCCATCATAGTCCACAAATACCCCTTCCTCTCATTTCCCTTTTTCAGGTGTTGGTTCCCCTCTCTCAAATCAGTGCAGGGGAGAGGGTAGTGAGATATCATGAAGGAACACAATGGGAGACAGGATTAACATGAGGAAATGACCATTTAAGCTATTTCACTGACACCCCCCTTCCCGCTGGCATCCCAGGAGAAAGATTCCCCTGACCAGATGTGGCGGCTGGAATCTGTATATTTCTGAAGGCTTGCTTACTCCAGGAAGCTCGCTAAGTTAATTGGAGCAGAGAGCTAGCTTCTTCTGGTCTTAACCTATCTAGGGTGTGTTTTCCAAGGTCTGGCATTTGTTCCCCACGCTTATAATACCAGAAACCTTGACCTATTTACCACATAAACCTTTTTGCTTTCTTTTGTATTTATTTACTGTTCATATCCGGCTCTCATTGTGTTTTCTTTATGATTGTCCGTATCATTTGTCATCCTAAGAGGGCAGAGGCTGTGTCTATCAGTATGTGGTGACCAATAAAAGTAATTACTATAATAGAGACATAGGGATCATAGTCTAACAAATGCCAGTAATGGTTATAGTAAACAATGGATGAGGCTTCAAATCAAGTTAATTAAAAGACTGTCACTTTAAGAACATTTTAGATGAACTTTGCTTTCATAATTACCCATGCATTTATGGACTTGTAGAATCTTAGAGATGGAGTGAATGTCAGAGGTCGTCTATCTCATCCTCTCATGCAGTTGCCACCAGCCTCTCCTGGAAGCCTCATGATGATGTCATTACTTTGCCCAGCAAACTAGTCAGTGTTTTTCATCATAAAATATATCTACAAAGAGTATATAAAAATGTGTATGGATCAGTTGAAGGAAAATAATAAAACACTTAAGTACCTGCCATCTAGGCAAATAATCGAATTTACCATGGCCCAGAAGTCTTCTTTTGCCCCTCCTGGATTTCATCCAAGTTCAATGCTTAGATCACCCTAATTTGTAGAAAGTTCTTTCTTATATGGAGCTGAAATGTCTTCCATGGACTCTGCACATGACTCCTGCTGTGGTGCTGTGATTAAATTTAGTGTAATTACATTTAATGTTTCTTCCATGTGACAACCCATCAACTATTTGAAGACAAGTATTATGCCAGAGTTGCCAGAAGAAACATCCTCATCCTTAGTTCCTTTCCTCTTACAATGTGGCTTCCATAACCAAACACAGTCCTCCACAGACCTGGCCTGACTAGCAAAGTATAGAGTGAAACTCTTCCCTCCTTGACCCGGATACTATATATATGTATTTTTTTTTAAGATAGCCTTGGGTAGGATTGAATGTTTCAGAGGTCATAGTACACTGCTGAGTTTATAGTCAAACTCCTGATGGCTTTCTTATAAGGACTGTTAACCCAGGTCTCTTCTGTTAAGTAGTATATAAACCTAAATGCCAGACATTTTACATCAATTACACTAATTCCAGTCAATTTTATTTTGTTAGTTTTATCTGTTATTCATTCCAGTCTGTCTGTATCATCTTAATTTATTAGAATGTATGATTGTATAATTTGATAGACTACTTGGAGCAAGCATGAAAACAACTTCTGCGGAATACATTAAAACACCAATGTTAAATTATCCTAAATGGAATCAAATATTTTCAGAATGGTTCAGAAGTCACTGCAGGATCATGCAGTGTCTCATGAATTATTGTGCCTTTGATCTGTGGGATGCCAGTCACTGGGGTTGCAGGTAATGAGATTCCAAATAGCAGAGTGCTTAGTGCGTGAAACTCTGGCAGAGAGTTAAAGCCGCTGTGGAAAGCAGAGAACATCAAAGTAGGCTAGTCATTATGTTGGCAGCGGGGAGAGGGGGGTGGCAGTTCATGTACAGTAGTTGGAAATCATAAGGAACTGGGCATCTATCATATTTTGGCATCAGTTCAGAAGGCGGAACTTCTAGATACATGTATTGCCAGGATATATTTCTCTCAACAATAGATTATTGTAATGGGCTTGGCTAAGGTGCTTGCAATAATGTGTGAGGACCAAGTTCATTGGCACAATATTTAGAAACTCACCATCATTATAGCAACAGGTCATGATTTCGTAGCAAAAATCTGGGGTGCCAGTACTTTAAGGAAAGAAGAAAAACTGAAAACTTGTGAGGAAAACACCCTAGCATGCACCTCCTTCTCCTGGCACTTAGGAAAGCACCTGGGGCGCAGAGAACAGGCCCTGCAGAAGCACAGACACACACAAGTGCCATCTTGTCCAGCTTCTCCATTATGCAGATGTTGGTTGCAGACCAAGTCGTCTCCTGCCCCTGCATGCCAGCCTGGTCCACAACAGTGCTAGTTTCTCTTAAGTTCCTTGTGGAAAATATTTTGCCCTGAGACTGCCCCTGAAGCCCTGAAACACAAATTGAACCTGAATGTTTTAATTAAACCTCATTAATTGAACTGTGTGTAGGAGGCATAGGTCCCTTGGGTCTGAAACAGGGCTAGCGAAGACTCAACTCTCAAGTTACATAGTTTGTCCTACGGTGCCAAAATATACTGCCACTGGAAACCCAGTTGCGGTAACTGATTTTTGCCTCCCCAACTTCTCATTTACTCCATGTAATTCGCACCTTACCTGCCTGTGTCCTCTCAACTTGATGCAGAGAGATAGAAGTAGGAATTCAACGCAAATCGTGAGAATCTCTAACATTAGGAGGGTAGTCAGAGTTTGGGGAACAACCAAATCTGTTACTTGACCTCACAACCAGTGACACTCATTAGTTAGGCTCTTGGTTCTTCCCTATTCTGTAGAACATGGAAGGTCAGATACGTGGGGTTTTGTGGAGCAAAAGTGACTCATACTAGAATCCAGCAGTGCTTCCAGTGGATTTCTGATTTGCTTCCTGCAATTCCACAGAACCAGAATCAAACACCATTTCAAACAGTTCAATCTTATAGTTATTCATGTATCTTTATTTCTCAGTTGAAATTGCTCTGAGCATAAGAGAGTGTTACAGGTCTATTGGCCAGGCTCACCAAGATCATTCTTCTTTTTCTGTTTCGTTTTGGAGACAGGGTCTCACTCTGTTGCCCAGGCTGGAGTTCAGTGGCATGATCTCAGCTCGCTCCAGCCTTGGCATCCTGGCCTCAAGCCATCTTCCGACCTCCGTCTTCTGAGTAATTGGGACTACAGGTGTGCACCACCACACCTGGAGATTATATATATATATATATATATATATATATATATATGGTAGAAATGAGATCTCAGGCTGGTCTTAAACCTCTGGGCTCAAACAGTCTCCCCTCCTCGGCATCCTAAAGTTTTGGGATTATAGGAGTGAGCCACTGTGCCCAACCAAGATTATTCTTTGTTAGAATATAAATGGCAGCCGGGAGCGGTGGCTCAAGCCTGTAATCCCAGCACTTTGGGAGGCCGAGGCGGGTGGATCACAAGGTCAAGAGATCGAGACCATCCTGG